TCCGCTTATCCTTGACGTCCCGCAGTTCTTTTGCGAAGAAGAGCTTGAAGAAGACAGATTAGCCATAGCATACGTAACATAATCAAGAAAGATGATAACGAAAAATATCTACCGCATATAGCGCTTCTAGGCACAGTGAAGCATATAGCTAGTCTCTTACCCGAAATGATTACAGACAAATATTATGTGGAGAAGTACTGTGACTGTGCAGTAGCATCAGTTTACTTCAAAAATTAGTGCGCTAGAAACGCTTATGTTTTTAATGGAGAACACACGAGAAACATGCTCAACTTTCTGAGCCAACGATCTCTCCACCTTTGTGTAAACACGGTTCAACATCCAGGGGAACTTAGTGAAATGACTTGAAAGATTATTGGACTACGAAGAGGCAAAAGTATGGATTACCGACCTTTGTGTATCTTCTTTTACTCGCACAGCTCTATGAATTTACTATTTCAAGATTCCCACCTTCAATCTTCTTCGGAGCTTTTTGGTATGGCCACCGTTACTCTATCTTATGATCCCAAGATTGAACAAAACGAAAAACACATTCGAACCATTCAATGATAAGCTCAGGGACTACCAAATACTTTTCAGAACTTCTGGTAACATTACATTCTGAACAATGCGACTCAAGGTTGGCGTATTTTAAAGAGGAAAGGCACATGTCCGAGATGACAGGGATCAAACAATCAGGCCATGATGCTCGGCAGCATTAGAATTACTTCAGAAATACAAGAAAAGAGAACGCATATAGTATAGATAGCAGGAAGAAGAAATAGATAGATTCACCTCAAGTAATGTGCGCAGGTCAGCAGAGTCCGAACGTGCGATGCCTCATCGAATATCAAGAGCCGAAGAGAGATGAGAGTGGAAACGGACTCTGCTCACCAAGCTATTGGCCTACATAAGCTAGAAAAGCAGATGGAAAAGATATCGGAGAGAATCACCTCATCTAGGCGGGAATTTCCATTGATGACCGTGTAATAATGAGCCCGGTAATCCACCGTCTGACCTTTGGGTATGACATCCATGCTGAAGTTCTCGTGATCATATTGCTTGTCATACACTAAAACAACTATACATAGTGATTTATGCTGTTAACAAACAGGTTTACCTATGTAAGAGCCTTCGGGCGAACGCTCTTCCTTATATGCAAGGTAACCCCATTTTTCTCGTTTCTGAAAAAAAAGTTTTAGGGAAGGTTTTGCCAGCTGCTGTAAGCACTCATCGAAGCATTTCTGAAGAACATCTTTGAAAAATAAGAAAAACTCACTATAACTACAACAGGTGGAGCTTTCCTCTTTCTCTTTCTTTCGTCATCGGAGGAACTGGATGATGCATCACTGCAACAAATGCAAGTAATGAAGACAGATATACAAAAAAAGCAAAGCACACCTGTCATCATCTGTCGAGCTAGATGACGTGGAAGAATACCTGTAATCATTAGATGTAGTAGTACCTGAATGCTGTAATGGATGGTTATATACCTTCTCTGCCTCTTTCGCTCCTTGTGTCTACGGTGCTTGGACTTCTTTGATTTCTTTTTCTTCTTCTTCTTCTCAACAGGGAGATCAACTCGCGGAGTGCTGATTGGTACGAAGTGTGTTGGCGTTGGAAGCTGCAAAAAAGTGATGAACAATAATAAAGTTCACTACTGGCTCCAAAAAGCTATCTTCGTTTGGAAAAACTGCCAACATGACAAGAGATGAATCAATGTAACCAATACAGAGCAGAGTCTCGAGGTAAATTGAAATCATGAAGCTTAAGATGTCAAATAAGATTGCATATCCACTAGGTTTGTCGACGCTTACGGAAACAGCAGTCTATGGAGCCCCCATTGTGCTAAGGCACAATACAGTGAACTGATTGCTCTCAGATAAATGCACTATAATTGAATCTATAAATGAGCTAAAACAAAGCCCTCCATAGAGACAAATCCCTTCACATCGCACAATCCTACATCTTATACTATACGCTATCAGAAAAACTTGTGAGTATATTCTGGTTTGATAACCAAAGCATCTCCTATCGAAAGCTAACAATTCGAAAAAAACCTTGCAGAAAAGCACCCATGTTTCACTGTTTCTGCCTCTCTTGCATTTGCTTCTCAAGTCTTCTAGCACTTCGAAAAATTTTTTGGTAAGCTTTCCAAGATTTTCGCGGTCACGTAACCTCTACTTCATAGAAAGGGAGAGAAATTTTATTTTTTGGGGAGGGGGGTCTATGGCCACGCCCCCAAAAAAGAATTTCCATAGAATTTTGAAAATCGATAACTATTTACTGCTCCTATACAAAAATTTCCCCTTGTCCAGTATTCGCCAGCAATGGGGTGAAAAAGACCTTACT